TATCTCATTCAGATCAACACACACCAGGAGGATTAGGTCTAGAGCTCTCCAATGTAGTAGATTAGTAGCTCAAGAGTGAGGGTCGAGTTGGACTCATGCTCAAGTTCCGGATCTAATCTTGGAGGCTCGACAAAGCCTTGTATCTTCACTTCTACATCTTGTAAGACTTACTATCAATTCATCATATTCTTATCTACATGGCTATATTAACTTTGAATATATATCTTGCTTAGTTGAGGTTATCATTACTTTTGTGTGCGGGTTCATAGAGCGCTTAACCTGCTATAGTTTATCGATTGGGCTAAGTAGCCGAGCCTCATGTAAGCATGATGCTTATACGATGCTCTGCCTATGAGTACACCCTGTTCTCTTGTTGTGTGGTAGCAGCGGGTGGTGACAGTCCCGTCTATCCTTTGTAGTCCACGCTGAATTGAACAGGTTCTTAAATTATAGGACCGTAATTGTGTCGGTAGATTTATCTATTGTGGCTGCTCTACTGTCTAAGCGGCGTCCCAAAGTGCACAATAATAGAGTTAGTCTTAGCTATAGTCGGGTATATATATACTTTGATCCTATAATAAGAATATCATAGGAATCTACCTCACCCGTTGTTCTCTCGAGTTGACTAGTTATTTATCTTAGTGATCTATCTCCTGAGTGTTTTTATGCTTAAATCCTATCATTACCTTCACCCCTTACTCTAGCTATGCAGGTATGTTGACAGATAGATATTTCTTATTTACTAAATAAGTCTTCACTCCATTGTTTCTCTGTGGTAAAATATAAATAACGATACTTGGAATACTCTCGGTAAAATGGTACAATGATATTCTGTGCGCTTACGAAATCCTTCATATTCTATTTGCACTTATAAATACCAACACACACACATGCACATCTTGATCTAAGAGTATGACATTTTTCTCCTTGGATCCTTGTTTTGACTTTACAATATATGCAATGCAAGTATGTTTCCATATTCATCCCTACCTGAGCTCCACATAAGCTTTTTAGAAGTAGGTAAAAAGAAGGCAAGAACATTAATGCCTTGGTAAGGATCCAAAAATACTACATATAATGAGTGATTTGATAGAACCACAAAAGGAGAAGGTAAGCTATGTTTTGTTTAAAAAAAATCTTAAAACGTTTCTCTAATTGACTTGACTGAAGAAAGATGGTGATATGTTTCAAGCTATTCCGTTCTTCAACCTCCCAAAGTTTCATAGTAGACACTTTGAATACTGCAGAGCATGTATGACTGGGAATGGTTTTATATTGATGTCTTGTCCTAAGGTTATGTCTTAAGTAATCCATCCTTTTATCGAGGATGAGTAAAAGCCTAAGTGTGGGGGAGTTTGTTGACGGTAGTTAATGACAATTATAAACCATCAATATACCTTGTATAAATGACTAAAATGAATCACCAATATAGACTTAGGGGTTTAAACTAACAATTTCCACGAGTTTTGGTAAATCTGTGTTTTCAGCAGGATTTAATCAGAAAAACACCAAGTATGACCTATTCATCAAAGGAAATCATGTAAATCCATGACGGTACCTATATGGGAAGACTCTAGAAGACTCTAGAAGGCAAATCACTGAAGCAGGCCACGTGTCCATGACATGTGGTGCCGGCCAGCCCCACTGCTAGGCCGGCCAGCCTGTGGGCCCCTCCTGTCAGCGAATTTCTACAAATGATTAGTCAATAAGATGGCGAAGCGAATTTTGCGCTAGCACTATACTTGGGGTTGCAAGCCACCTACCCAATTCTATTTTCTATGATCTCTAGTATATCACAACAAAGCTATGTCACTAATATACACCTAGGTGATCAACCTAGTGAGAGTAATACAATTAAATGATACACTATCTAGTCTTAACTACCACTAGCTCTATCCAAGTGAATGTATAATGAAATACAAGAGAGTGGTAGAGAGGTATACCGCCATGGCAAGTGACCAATGAGTGAATACCAAGGAGACAATCAAGACACAATGATTTTTCCTCCGAAGTTCACTTGCTTGGTAGCAAGCTAGTCCCCGTTGTGGTGATTCACTCACTTGGAGGTTCACGTGCTAATTGGCATCACATGCCAAACCCTCAATAGGGTGTCACACAACCAACACAAGATGAGGATCGTATAAGCCATGAGCAATTTACTAGAGTACCTTTTGGCTCTCCGCCGGGGAAAGGTCAAGAACCCCTCATAATCACCACGATCGGAGCCGGAGACAATCACCAACCTCCGCTCAATGATCCTCGCTGCTCCAAGCTGTCTAGGTGGCGACACCCACCAAGAGTAACAAGCCAAACCCGCAGCGAAACACGAATACCAAGTGCTTCTAGATGCAAACACTCAAGCAATGCACTTAGATTCTCCCCCAATCTAACAAAGATGATGAATCAAAGATGGAGATGAGTGGGAGGGCTTTGGCTAAGCTCACAAGGTTGTTATGTCAATGCAAATGGCCAAGAAAGTGAGCTAGAGTCGGCCAAACGATATTTATAGACATCCCCAAACAATAGAGTCGTTGGCTCAATTATTGGGCTAACTGCGGGACGATCGGACGCGCAGGTCGTGTGCACCGGACGCGTCCGTCGCTGCCTGACCGCCACGTGTCCCTTTCAAATTGTTTAGCCATTGGCACCCAACGGCTAACTCTATGCACAGTAATACTACGTGATCAGACGCGCTGTTAGAAAATGATCGGACCGGGAGACGCAGCGTCAGGTCGAGTCCAGAGAGCTCCCAGAGCCGCTCTGGGCCAACCGGACGCGTCCGAATCACACCGGACCGGAGGCGCCCAGCGTCCGATGAATTATTGCGCTGAAAACCCGAGACTTGCTGGTTCACACAGGACGACCGGACGCGTCCGGTCGCTCTCTGCAATCCTACATCGGACTATATCACTTTGACCTGACGCTGAACACAAAACTCATCAGCGTTCGGTCACTCCACTGAGCCAGAGTCTAGTCACTTTCACTTAGTCGCTCACCTCGGGTCCAAATATCGGACGTGTCCGGTCCTGATTCCGGACGTGTCCGGTCACTTCTGTCTGACTACCCCAAGACTGGATAAAATAATGGACGCGTCTGGTCCCAATTTCAGATGTGTCCGGTCACTCTGTGACCAGCGCGACTAACTCCTTTTCAACTCTATCTTCTTTACTCTTGCTCAAATGTGCCAACTACCAAGTGTATCACCTTGTGCACATTGTTAGCATATTTTCACAAATGTTTTCAAGGGTGTTAGCACTCCACTAGATTCTAAATGCATATACAATGAGTTAGAGCATCTAGTGGCACTTTGATAACCGTATTTCGATATGAGTTTCACCCCTCTTAATAGTACGACTATCGATCCTAAATGTGATCACACTCACTAAGTGTCTCGATCACCAAAACGAAAAAGCTCCTATCAAGTTTCACCTTTGCCTTAAATTTTTGTTTTTCTCTTTCTTCTTTTTCAAGTCAAGCATTTGATCATCACTGTGCCATCACCATCATCATGATTTTCACCATTGCTTCATCACTTGGAGTAGTGCTACCTATCTCATAATTATTTTGATAAACTAGATTAATACTTAGGGTTTTATTAATTCATCAAAATCAAACTAGAGCTTTCAGCCTCCCCAACGGCTCTACCTTCTTTCGGCTTCCTCTCAACGCCTGGCCTCCTCATCTGAGCAGAAGTGGCCTCCTCCCGGTGCCTCCACCTCTGTTTCGGTGGCTGACCTCCTGCCAGCGGCTCTGCCTCCGTCCGTCTAGCGCTCAACCTCCTCCCGGTGGATCCGATGCCCGACTTCCTCCTCGATCGGATCTGGCACCCTACCTCCTCCCTGCTCCTATCACCGGCAGCTGACCTCCTCTTGGAGCCCGGTTTTCCTCTCCAATTCCCGACCTTCACCCCCTTCTCTCTAGCGTCCAAGCTCCTCCCAGCATCCGGTGTAAATTGATAAGAACGAGGAAGAGAGGAAAATGACCATAGGTCTCTCGTGTCAGTGTCTATTAAAATATATTTGAGGGCTTATACTGGAGTAGATGCAAGAAACAGACTCTCAAAAATAAGAAAATCCCTCAAGTAATGGATACCGATTTGAGGCCTCGCGCCGGAGTTGATTTAATTCTTCTAGAAACCGCATGAGTTACTAGTAATGGGAAATCATGTATATAATACTATATATTGGCTTGTACCACAAGTCGTGCAGGGCGGTTAACCACGACCTGCGACGCTTCTGCGCCTTCTGGGAAAAGAGGGCGTCGGAATCGGAAAGATATGATGGAATGACTTCACCGTACCTAATATGTTCCGGCAATGAACTCTCTGCGACTCTGCAAATAACCTTTCTACGACAGTGTCATTGTCTAAATTGACTGTATACAAGCAACGAAAGTATCATGACAAACAGAAAACACCAACTTATTACGCGAGCCTTTACTCTCCGGAAGTGAGAATAACAAGTACATATATGTTCAGACAACAAGAGAAGCGCTAGTGCGCTACTACAAGTAGACCGTTGATTAGAGTAGCACACGTCAGCTGATCACGCTGAAACTGCAAAAGAAAGGAAGCTGATACTGATGTACTGATGCTTCTCACATAGTACTTTATGCTGATTTATTATGAGAGAAAAATACTATTAGTTTGTTGAAAAATATTGCTGAAGTAGTGCTGAAGAATATGTTGAAGTAGTGCTGAAGAATAGGACGAGTAAACCGAACCATATGACTGGTCGCTGTTTATCCGTGATTAATAATGGTTCCGGGTCGCTTCCAATCTCTACTCTCTAACCACTAGCTACAAGTTGAGCGCCGGCACCCTTGCACCAAAACTAAAGCTCATATATATATATATATATATATATATATATATATATATATATATATATATATATATATATATATAGTACCAACCTGCTCATTCTTATTATACTCATACTCCACGAGGACACACAAAGATTCCAGCACGCGCCAGCAAGCTGAGCTCCACGGACGCGACCATGAACGCGACCGATAGCAGAGCTGGTGATCAGAATGGCAGAGACGGGGAGGAGAAGAAGGATGCGGCCCCGGCAAAGGTGTCCCTGCTCGGCATGTTTAGGTACGCGGACCGCCTGGACATTCTGCTCATGGCGGTGGGCACGGTGGCGGCCGTGGCCAACGGCGTGGCGGAGCCCCTTGTGTCCCTCCTATTCGGCAAAGTCATCGACTCCTTCGGTGACAGCACCGTGCAGAACATCCTCCGAAGCGTCAGCAAGGTGAGCGCACCTCTGCTCTGCACCGGTCGATGATGAACTGGCCGCGGCCTGGAGTCACGCGTCAGACTGAACCGCCGAAATTCTTTTTAAGCCCACTGATGAACACCGGAATTTTATTTTGAGAGGACCATTGAGGAACACCCAATCTAAAGATAGGTTTTCTTCAGGTTGTTCTGGATTTCGTATATTTGGGCATCGGAGCAGCTGTTGTCTCATTCCTTCGTAAGTGGAACTTTAATTTGTTTGAGATTCGCTCAAAGTTACTATGAATGTGATGAAATGCTACAAGAGAAAAAAATAGTCATATGAACAGTAGAACATACTTCCTTAACTTAAAAAAGAATACAATTCTATCCTAGTATCGAGTAAAACAATTTTGAGTTTAATTAAAATTATTGAAAAGTGTCAATATTTATGATACAAATTAGGTGTCACAGATTCGTCTTGGAACATGTTTTATAGTATGTCTATTTTTTTCTACAAATTAGGTGTCACCGGATCCCCCGGCCGTCGCCGTTGCTCTCTGACGAGTGGTGGCGGCGGCCGGCGGAGGCGCTCAAAAAGGTTGCCCCTGCATTCCTCCTCCCTCTCCAACCCCCTTCCCATCTCCCCCAAACTGCTATTCCACTTCTATAGCGGCCGACTGGCCGGCGACGAGCCCCAACCCTCGCCCTCTGATGTCAGATCCAACGCCCTCTGATGCTCGATCCGGCGCCCCGACCCGGATCTGGCGCAAGAGCAAGCCTTGAGCGAGATACCGTTGGAGACCCTCGCATGGCGGCGCCATCGCAGCCACTGCTCCGTGCGACGCCGCCGCACATCCTCACGTCGCGGCGCCACTGCAGTCGATGCTCTGCACGATGTTGCACGTGTCTTTCCTACGTTGCCGCCTCCTACTGCATGCCGCTGGGCACCGACGAGGGCGAAGTTGGCGGAGGTGTGGGCGAAGTTCGGTGGGTTGGTGGAGCAGCACACGCCCTTCTATCGGGCGCGTCGGGGCCCTGCCGCTTCGACCCAGCCCAGGCCACCGTCCTCTCGTGATCATCTTCACTCGCGATGAGACCTAGATCCGTGCGGCGCTCGTTCGGCGTGGGCCCTCACGGTGGGGCTCAACGCGACGCTCTCCAAACACACGTGGGCAGGGTGCCGTGCCCGCTCATCCGCGAGGGCCCATGGGTCAAACACGGCGTGCTCCTCGCCGGCTACGGCACGTGCAGCGTCTTTGCGGTCATCATGCACAGCTCCGTGGCACCGGCGCCAGGATTAAACCCAATGCTCCACGACCGTCAACTGCGCGGACGTTGTGGTGTTGCCGGTGTCTAGGTCTCCTTCGGGGTGACCTTTGCCTGGCACAACTCCTCCGCCGCGTGCAAGCGAGCTTCAGCGTCCCCCTACGTCGCTCTTCTCGGCCGATCCTGGCCGATGGGGGCCTGATATGCCTCAACGGGGAGGACAAAGCTCTACTGTGGCTCAGGCTGGAGTTGCTTCGCCTAAGAGGGTGCTATCGGCTTGCTACCTACTAGCGTGCTGCTGGTCGGCAACTCCATGCTTGGCACCATGCCCTACTGCATTGTGCGAGCTATCAAGGGCTCAAGCCGTGGGGCGTGGTATGGTCATGCCGTGCCCTTGGAGCAGTCGTTGTCGACGTGCACTGGGAGGCCGCAGCGTGGACTCATGGCTCTGTTGCTATGAACATTATGTGTCGTCTTGCCTTGGGCTCGTCCACTCGGCTCTAGGCTCGCGAGCTACAGTTCAAGGGTTTCGAGGGCTTAGGCGAAAGCTGTGCACAACCTAGTTGTGTGCCCCCGGTGCCGTTTACCTCCTTGGAGGCGTTGATGTAACCTCCCCACCCTATGGTTGTAGTATTGTCCCTCTCCTCCTAATGAAAACTTAGCTCTGTTTATCTGGAGCTGGTGGTGGCGGCGTCTCCGACATCACATCCTTCTTGAAGGCACCACCGTGGAGGGGCCAGCTCAGACCTACCACAACCTTCTTTCTTGCAAGGCCACCTTACTCTCCCTATACTAGGGCACAAGCTATTCGCTAGATGGTGTCTGCTGCCGGTGTCCTTGCTCTGACGCCCTCCAGGTTCCTTAATTGCATCTTCTCACCATATGCTGGGTTAGCGAGACCATAATCCCCTCTTGGATCTCCTCGTTCTCCAATAGTCGGTCAACCCTAGAGGCTTCCCCCCTCTAGGGGCATATGTGGAAGACGATTGGATCCTGGATGAAACCCATAGAAGACGTACTTCACGGCTATAGTCTATCAATCTTGACTCAATGCCTTACAATCGCTCTTGGAATGAGCTCCAACTCATCAGAGTTTTGTCTATTAGCGGTGCATTAGTCAACGTTCATTGACATGCCTCTGTAGTGGGAGTTGTAGCTTTGTTAGTGCTCCTTGTGGTTGTTGGTTGTTTCTCCGTGTATGTGGTGTTGTTGGTGTTGTGCTAGTTGTCACCTCTCTCCTTGTACCATGTTGGACCTTTCAAGGGCTGCCCATGCATCCTCCATTACCGACTTATCGGAATCTGTGGTAAATTATTTAGGTGGAGCCTCTCAGCTCCCCCGGTGTTCGACCTAAAAAAAATTATCACCATGCTTATGACATTCAGTCTCAAAGGTGCATGTTGATTCTTTTTTAGAAGAGTTCAAGGTTTTAAATCGTGGATATGACATTTAGTGGTAGCTTCCTCTAAAAGCTATAAAAATCTATAGCGGGGTATAGCATAAGCTATTTCCTTTAGTGGTTTTATAAAAAACATAAAATTCTTAATTAATTATGTAGGAAAACATGTGCAATATTTCCAAAGCTAGCGTACCACGTTTGCACCCTCACTTTTACGCCAATAGCTTCCAACGTTTCAAATTTCACCTGCGTGTCACATCCATGAGCAGTTGTGCACCCACGTGCCAAGTTAGTTCACATCCATGTATCTAAATAAATGCACCCACACTCTAAGTTTGTGTACTCATTGTGCATTTAACTGTTGTTAGAATTTGCTTCTACACAGTTAACTAAAAGGCTCAACTTTCACTTGTCACAGAGGTGTCATGTTGGACGATGGCAGGAGAAAGGCAGTCAGCCCGAATCCGTTCTTTATACTTAAATGCAGTCCTGAGACAAGACATTGCATTCTTCGATACAGAGTTGACAACAGGCCAAGCGGTCTCTAGAATGTCAAGCGATACCCTAGTGATCCAGGATGCTCTCGGAGAGAAGGTATATTACATTGCATTCCCTGAAATTGGCTTATGCTAATGTTTATGCTGATTTGTTATGAGAGAAAAATATTGTTTGTCCGCTGAAAAATACCATTGAAGTAGTGTTGCAGAACAAGACGGATAGTAAACACAAAGACCTGCAAAAACATGGGACAATGCATACAATTTTATTATTTCTTTTATACCTTGAGCTGCCCTAGCTGAACTATTCATGAATCTATTAACTTGTCATTTACAGGCAGGAAAGATTCTACAACTCTCTTCTTCCTTTTTTGGTGGTTTTGTAATAGCATTCACAAGAGGCTGGCTCCTCACCCTTGTCATGCTAACATCGCTACCACTAATTGCTATCGCTGGTGCAGTTTCTGCTCAGTTTCTAACCAAGGTTTCCAGCAAGAAACTGACATCTTATGGAGATGCTGGGGACACAGTTGAACAGACCATAGGGGCTATTCAAACGGTGAGTTCAAATTATGCCAATAAGTTCAAAGTATATTACTTACTTTCCAAGATGTAATAAGTTTTCTTGTTTCAATAGGTAGTTTCCTTCAATGGAGAGAAAAAAGCCATCGCAATGTACAGAAAATTTATAAAGAAGGCATACAGGACTGATATTTTGGAAGGCCTTATCAATGGTTTTGGCATGGGATCTGTATTTTGCATCATGTTCTCCAGCTATGGCCTAGCTTTCTGGTATGGTGGAAAGCTAATCGTAGACAAAGGCTATACTGGTGGGAAGATTATCACAGTTTTACTTGCTGTGTTAACCGGTGCAGCGTGAGTTTCTGAAACCCTAACATTACAAACATGAAACCACAGTTGAAGCCCACCAGATTTCTAACCTCGCGATCCCACTTTCATGATATCCATACTTAATTCTATCCTCAAGATTCCATTTTCATGATATCCTAAATAATGCACACATACATGAAGAACATGACACAGCCCACCTTAATTCTAACCTCGCGATCCCACTTTCATGATATCCATACTTAATTCTATCCTCAAGATTCCATTTTCATGATATCCTAAATAATGCACACATACATGAAGAACATGACACATGAGCAGTAGTTATGCAACTATCACTTCATATTCAGGCATTAAAATTTTATTAGATGATTGTATACAGTACAATAAAGTCCTAAACAGGCCACAATTCAATCACTTGCAACAGCTCTTTAGGAAATGCAACACCCTCTGTTTCTGCAATCGCGGAGGGTCAATCTGCAGCATACAGATTGTTTGAAACCATTAAGAGGAAGCGAGAGATAGATTCAGGTGACACCAGCGGTGTGGTTATAGAAGATATCAAGGGCGATGTTGAACTAAAAGATGTTCACTTCATATTGAGAAACAAATAAATTTAACTTTAAAGCATATCGTACAATAGTGTCCTGAACATGCTACAATTCAATTCTTTGCAACAGGTCTTTAGGTAGTGCAACACCCTCTGTTTCTTCAATTGCTCAGGGTCAATCTGCAGCGTACAGATTGTTTGAAACGATTGAGAGGAAGCCAGAGATAGATTCAGGTGATACCAGTGGTATCGTTTTAGAAGATATGAAGGGTGATGTTGAACTAAAAGATGTTCACTTTCGCTACCCTGCAAGACCTGATCAACTGATATTACATGGATTATCATTGCAAGTAGCCAGTGGGACCACAATGGCCATAGTTGGAGAGAGTGGAAGTGGCAAGTCAACTGTCATCAGCCTAGTTGAACGATTCTACGATCCACAGGCTGGAGAAGTTTTGATAGACGACATTAACATCAAGAATCTAAGGCTTAGTTGGATAAGACAGAAGATCGGTCTGGTCAGCCAAGAACCACTGCTCTTCATGACCTCCATTAAAGATAACATAATGTATGGTAAAGAAGACGCAACACTTGAAGAGATCAAGAGAGCAGCTGAGCTTGCAAATGCAGCAAATTTCGTAGATAAGTTACCAAATGTATGAGATTTTTTATGAATATTTACAATAATTTCTTGAAACTTTTAAGTTATGGTAATAAGAAGCTAATGATGTTTTCATGATATACTAGGGCTATGATACATTGATTGGGCAACGTGGTGCACAGCTTTCTGGAGGACAAAAGCAAAGAATTGCAATTGCAAGAGCCATCCTTAAAGATCCAAAAATACTTTTGCTCGATGAAGCAACAAGTGCGTTGGACGTGGAATCTGAGAGGATAGTTCAGGAGGCACTGAATAGGATAATGGTGGAAAGGACCACACTCGTTGTCGCTCATCGTCTGAGCACCGTAAGGAATGTTGACTGCATAACTGTTGTTCACCAAGGGAAAATAGTTGAACAAGGTTTGACTCTCATAATTACTTATTTTTCCTTTCTGAAAAAAACTCCCTTCTCAAGCTAAGATAATTCATTTGTCCCACACACATTATATATACAGGTTCTCATGAAGCTTTGGTGAAGGATCCCCATGGGGCTTACTCCCAGCTTATTAGGCTACAGGAGACTCATGCTGATGAAAGGCATAACATAGCAGATTCTGGGGCGCCAGATTCTAGATCAAAAAGCACAAGTTTGTCACATAGACGGTCAATGAATAAAGATTCTTTTGGTAATAGCAATAGACAGTCCTTCAAGACCCCCTTAGGATTGTCAGTTGAGTTGCACGAGGATCAGACCACACGCGAACAGAAAACAGAAGAGCTCTCCGATGTTGTGGTGCTTAAGAAAGCACCCATTGGGCGTCTTTTTAAGCTTAATATGCCAGAACTGCCAGTTCTTCTATTAGGCTCTATAGCAGCATCAGTGCATGGAGTCATTTTTCCATTGTTTGGTATATTAATATCTAGTGCTCTGAAATCGTTCTATGAACCACCAGATAAGCTGCGAAAGGATACTAGCTTTTGGGCATTGATATCAGTTGTTTTGGGAGTTGGATGTTTGATTTCAATCCCAGCAGAATATTTTCTGTGTGCAGTTGCCGGGGGAAAGCTTATAGAGCGTATTCGTACATTGTCATTTCAAAGCATTGTGCACCAAGAAGTTGCTTGGTTCGATAATGCCTCAAATTCCAGGTATTATAACATTTGACTTTTTTTTTAATCTTTTCTGAGCATATGTTAATTTACACCAATACTAAGAATCCTCCTTATCACTTGCAGTGGTGCACTTGGTACACGGCTTTCAGTCGATGCGTTAAATGTCCGGCGCTTAGTAGGAGATAACTTGGCCCTAATAGTGCAATCTATAGCTTCATTAACAACTGGATTTGTCATAGCTTTTGTCGCAGACTGGAGGCTTGCACTGATCATCACATGCTTGATTCCTTTGCTAGGTGCACAGGGTTATATTCAAGTAAAGTTCTTGAAGGGATTTAACAAACATGCTAAGGTGATCCATGAAAACTATGAAATTATTTTCCATTTTATTGAGAATGATATTCCCTAACGATACTTGAGTTGCATACCATGACAATGTGATCTTATTATGCAGGAAATGTATGAAGATGCAAATCAAGTTGCAACTGATGCTGTCGGTAGTATCAGAACTGTAGCATCTTTCTGTGCAGAGAAAAGAGTAGTTACAACATACAACCAGAAATGCGAAGCACTTAGGAAACAGGGAATTCGAAGTGGAATTGTTGGAGGCCTTGGTTATGGCTTCTCATTCTTAATTGTGTATCTCACATATGGTCTTTGTTTCTATGTTGGTGCGCAGTTTGTACATCAAGGAAAAACTACATTTTCAGATGTTTTTAGGGTAAGAATACTACTAATTTCAAGATACCATTTGGCGCACAAATATTGCCATTATCACTTATTAGCTGATGATGTTTTCCAGGTTATCTTTGCCTTGGTTATGGCAATTTTTGTGGTTTCACAGGCAAGTGCACTGGCCTCAGATGCAACCAAGGCAAGGGCTGCTGCTATTTCCATTTTCAGTATTCTGGATAAGAAGTCAAAAATTGACTCAAGTAGCGGTGATGGGATGACACTGGAGAATGTCACTGGCATCATTGATTACAACAATATCAGTTTCAAGTACCCGTCACGCCCTGATGTCCAGATATTCAGTGACTTTACCTTGCACATTCCTTCTGGGAAGGTACATTGAACTTGCAACAACTTAGTCGCCTTCTATCCATTTTCATGCAGTAGTATTGCTCCAAATAATTGGATGCAATGTATCTAGTTCTTGGGCAATATTACTTTCAGGTTCTCTAGCACTGGAACAGTTGTGATGCAATATTTTCATTCCTTTTGCAGACAGTGGCACTCGTTGGAGAGAGCGGTAGTGGCAAGTCCACAGTAATTGCTTTACTGGAGCGATTCTATGATCCTGATTCCGGTAGAATCTCACTAGATGGCATTGAAATTAAGAGCTTAAAAGTAAGCTGGCTAAGGGATCAAATGGGGCTAGTAGGCCAGGAGCCACTGCTTTTCAATGACACAATTCGTGCCAACATAACATATGGGAAACATGGTGATGTAACAGAGGAAGAGGTCATGGCTGTAGCCAAGGCAGCCAATGCCCATGAGTTCATATCAAGCCTCCCTCAAGGATATGACGCCGTGGTAGGCGAGAAAGGAATTCAGCTGTCTGGTGGGCAGAAACAACGGGTAGCTATTGCAAGGGCCATAATCAAGGATCCTAAGATACTACTCCTTGATGAGGCAACGAGCGCCCTGGATGCTGAATCAGAGCACATTGTTCAAGACGCATTGGACAGAGTCATGGTCAGCCGCACCACCATTGTGGTGGCACACCGCCTCTCCACGATCAAAGGGGCTGACATGATTGCAGTCCTCAAGGAAGGCAAGATTGTAGAGAAAGGAAAGCATGAAGCCCTGATGCGCATCAACGGTGGAGCCTATGCTTCACTAGTAGAGCTCCACTCGAAATCTGAATAGAGTGATGTATCTTTATATCATTTGTACAAGTACTGTTTGGTCAGAATCCAATTGTTCATGATTTTAGAAATCAAAATGAAAATTGAGGTCAAGCACTTCTTCGAACACCTATATTCCTGAATATTATGTGGTAGGTGAAGGGACCATATTCAAATGCATCACTAACTGAATAAACCATTAAAATATGAAAACGAGCCTTTCAACAGTATATATTCTCTACTGAACTCAAATGCAAAACTACATTTCTACAGTGAAGATTGGATGTATAAGATTAAAAAAAAACTCAGGCAATGATTTACCAAACCTGGAGATCAGGGTTACATGAACTGGATGCAGGCATAGTTGCTAAATTCACCTGTAGATCCTCCACAAGGTCGTGTCGTCGCCGCCCGCATGCCACACCAGCAGTTATCTCCTCCCTCTTTCATTCTCTTTTTGTTTGGACCTTTGGGCCTCCTCTGAGCCGTAACCCGCCAAAGTCAAATATGGGACCAAGCAATATAGGCCGTTGGTTTTGTTCTCGGACGGCTGTCACTGGCAGACAACTATGCGGCACCGTTGCTATAAAACGGCAGCAGCAGCTTTGTCTTCGACGGTAAGAGCATGTCCCAGGAGACACTCCAAACTTCACCCTCTATATCATCATTTGGCTATCTAATCTAAAAGATTCCTTCTCCATATAAATCAATACTCCAATAGACTAACCAAATCTCACACTCCAAATCCTATTTGCCTAATTGTACTGGTATTCAATTTTGTTGTAATTGTCTGAGACAAGTTAACATAGTGTAGTAAACTATCTAGTTAACTTTGGGCATTCATATGATATTTACACAGTGTCAAAAATTTATGATATATAAATCTCACCCTTCAAATTGCTTACCTCGATGATAGAAGCTCTACAATGCTACAAAAATTATGAATGTGATCATATTGAACTCCATCCCGATCTGGTCTCCCCTTCTCTCCAATTGCAAAAATGAACCATCCTGGACTCCAGCAGATACATTTGGTCAAGAAATATATTCCAAGGATCCAAGGCAACTGATTGCAAAAGATCAGATGAAAAGATCAGATTGTTAAGTCTTCTACAGATTAATCCCCTGAGATTTCAAGTTCAATGTGGAAAATACATTGGTTGAGATATACAGATTTATCCCAGGTACACAGAAACGCACCCCTAAGTGGCCAAATACAGCAAACACATCAGTAAAAAACAGAAACACTTCTCCCCTCTTCCCATCCAAATCTCGTTTTCCCCTTATCCCATCCCAAATCAATGCAAATCCCCATCTCAATCTCATTCCCATGCAATCCCTTCAGGCATATGTGGGCATCAGTTCAGGGCGGACGGGAACGCATTGGCAGGGCTGCTGCGGCTAGGGAGCTAGAGTCTAGAGAGGCGACACAAAATGGAAGGAGGCAGAAGGATAAAGGAGCTCACCAGGGCCGAGGAGCACTGGCTCCATCGAAGGAGCGCTCCTGGTGGTCGGTCTTTCCTGCTGTAGTGCTGTGTCTGCGCGTGAACTGAAGATGACGATGATCTAACCAAGAACAAGTACTTACTAGCATCTCTGAGATTTTTTATTGAACTTACTATCTAAATTATTATTGGAGAGTCATTTAAATAAAAATCTAGATTATCATCTGCAGTGTCATTTAAATGAAAAATATTCTCTATATCTTTCTACGCTCTAAGATTATCTTTAGTTAGCGAAAAAATTAAAATAGAGAATAATAATATTTAAAGATTTAATCAAAAAAGTTATTGAAGTGTTTTTTATCCAAAATATCTATTCAATTAAATGAAAAAATATAAATATGCTCCTAAAGTTGCTCTAATATCTAAAACATTAAGTCTTAAAAATCTAGTTTCTAACAATTCGAAGAACCATTTCGGAAAAAGAAGAAGAAGAAGAAGAAGAACCATTGGGTATGAAAAAAATAAGCTCTACCAACAGTTCTATTTTATTTATTCATAAATTCATGCACATCTTTGTCTATCATACATATCGAGCACTGATCATGGACGAAATAACTCCCTATAATAGCCGGCCATATTAATATTTTAGCTCACACCTACGACCTTCAAAACGAAATATTTATTGCAGCTCATCTTCTAGTATTGTCAGATTTAAAAATAGTGGCTAGACATTTGACTCCAACCAACTTTTTAATAGTGGCTGGTCATTTCGGCACAATAAAAGTCAGGATCTCTAAAATGAAATCTTAATTTTTTATGTACAAGGCAAACACTAATGCATACACATGCAACACCTCTATGAATGCACGTATACATACTGTACACTCTATGAGCACCTTCAAATAACTGAGACTTAATTGGTATCTCGAGATGGATGAAATCATGGTAGGCACATTGTTTATCACTGAAAGAACAACGTTGTTAAATTCTAGAAAAATGTGAGCACTCACTC